GGAAAATATCGGATTTTCTTGTAACTATACAAATATTTTCCGAACTCATCAACGATTTTCACTGCAAACCATCGCTTATGAACCCACCAGCTTTATGCTGATACTCTTTTAAACTGCTTGTATTCTCAGGAAATCAGTAGACAGGTACTTGCTGGATTTTCGAGGAACAGGAGCAATAAGAGTTTTAAGTTTATACTATACAAAGCTATTGAATGTAATCCAAACAACGTTTTAAACTGATGTAAACATTTTTACTTAAGTATTCACTGTAATGGTTGTGTTGCTATGATTATTGTTATTCATTGGTTGTGATGCTATACATGACGTCCTTCGCCCCGGAACGCTTCCGCCATCGGTTTCGGGGTGTGACAACAGTTGAGGTGCTAAGTTCTTAAAGGCCAAATACATCAAGCTACAACAAAGAGGTAATAATCTAATCTATTTTTTTATGATTCAAGTATCAAATTGTATGCTAGTTGTAGGCTTCATGCTTTGGATATTTTATTGCATGTATAACTAGAGAAAACTTAGATCCAAAGCATTAGGGTTATATGTACACCATAGGAGTGTTGTAGTATACTAAAACCCAACAAATACAACTTCGAACCCTTCGCGAACGAACCTATTACCTTATGATTTATGAAGTACCCCGAAGGACGCATCCCTGATCCTTTAATACCCACCGATGCTAACATAATAACCCCAACAAGCTAATTATACGAATGAGGGATGAGAGTCATATCAAACAGGAGAGTCATATCTAGGTGGTCGCAGATGCATCATGGCGTTTCAGATGTGGTAGGAGAGTCATATCAAACAGGAATGTAAATTGAGAAAATAAGGGTCTGCTTCCTTTGAAACCAAATATTTTATGTTCAAGTTGTTTGTCTCGGGTGATCAGGAGGGGTAATTTGGGGGCTAGAAATTGTCGTTGTTGTTGGTATGTATTGTAGTGTTTTGATATCCTCTGGATTCTTGCATGATGGTAATGATTGGATTGGTTTGAACTCTCGAGCAAGCTATTCGATAGGATCGGTGGTTGTTGGTAAAATGAGTACTGAAGTTATGTTTGGTCTGTTAGAGTTGTTGCTAGAACATCAACATGAGGTTCTTGAGTTTCTGAGAAAAGAGAGGTGGTATGCCAGTTACTGCAGATGCAGGTTTTGGTCGCACAAAGTTTTGTTCTTAGGATAATTCGTCAACACGAGGGCGTCTTCTAAAGGCGCGACACGCCTTTTTGGTTATTCAAATGCACGTCAGTTTTGTGAGAAATACCTAACTATTTTGTCATGTAGTGGGCGTGGGCACCCATGAGAGGGATCGACGCGCCTAGTTGACCAAAGGTTGACTTTTTGACTGTTGACATCGACCATTGATAGTTGACTTCTTGACCAGTTTGACTTTTGGTCAAATTGATGGGTTTGGAGCTAAAGACTAAGGTTTAGTCTCTTTGATCAGGTGACATTTCTCACTATACTATGTAGGACACGGGGTGCCAATGTATTATTGTTGTCTTTGTGACTCTTGCTAGTATGTTTATATGTTTGTTGGGCGGGGCCCAATTATGTGCTTGTTGGGCAGGGCCTGTTGATATGATTTGTTGGGCGGGGCCCATTATTAAGGACATGGTTCATTATTCAGGGCAGGACCCATTATTCAAGACGGGGTTCATTACTCAGGGTGGGGACCATTATTCAGGACGGGGTCCATTCCTCAGGGCGGGACACATTATTCAGGACGGGGCCCAATTTTCTTTGATGTGGTATCTCGGGGAACTCACTAAGCTTTGTGCTTAGGGTTTAAGTTAATATTATTTCAGGTTTTCTGGTATCACAGGGAAAGGCGCATCTGAGTGGTCTCGGCAACCTCGGCGAACACCGGGCCGAGGCATCAGCATGCCAAGCTCGGCTTGGCAACTCGGTGAGCTTTTACCGATAAGAGAGAAAGTGATTTTTTTACCCATTAACTCAAATTCCTTTTTTTTTCAAAAATACCTTCTTTTTTAAATAAAAAAAACCCAATTTCAAAAATATAATCGTTTTTTTTTTTTTAGTTTCAAATTTTAAACCTTCAATCTTAAACTATAAGTACCATCATCCTTATTCATTCTTCACCCCATTCAAATCTTCTTAATTAAATTCTCCTAACTTTCTTTTTTTCCATCTTCTTCAAAACATCATCGTTAATGGCTCGTGTGACTCGTTTTTGGTCCCCTGAAGAAGAGATGTTGCTAGCTTGTTCATAGCTTGATGTTATAGAAGACCCAATCCACATTAACCTCCATACTACGACCTTTTGAATGATAGTCACCGAAAAATACAACCGCAAAGCCCCGGTCCCTCGAGGTAAAGAAGAAATCTACTCTAAATGGAAGCACGCAAACGCACTTACAACTCAATTTAACAATGTGTTTTGTAGAGTGACCCATGAAACTGGAAATGATGAAAATGAAAATATTTTGCTACGGAATGCTCTTGAGGCTTACCGTGTTGAAACTAACAAAGATTTATGGCTTGTTGAGTTTTGGCAAATAGCATGACAAGTTTGGCAACCCATGACATGTAAATGGCAAAACTTTAAAGAAATGTGGCAAATCTGACGTGACGTTTATGTGGTTCATGACAAATGTGGCACCACTCCGACCAGCCTTAAAAGGCATAAAAACATAATCAAAATGCTAAAATCAATATTTTAATGCATCTTTTAATGATCGCCACTTGTCAGCAAATGACAATAACGTTGATATTTACGAAAGATTGAGAATAGATTCAACTTGAAATGGTAGTAATCAAATTGAGGAATCTAGCAACTGTCAGCAGCCACTAGTAAACAAACAGCCCCTAAATATTCCAAAATGAGAAAACGAGGTGAATTAAAAATAATTTAAGCACATAACTATAATACAACTTATATATAAATAAAATGAAATTACTCCACTACTATACAACAATTACAAGCCTAACATCAACATTCTTATCTTCATGAGAACTTGAAATGGTCGTGCTAATCAACCCTAAAACAAAAATAGTAGAAACGACTGAGAATCTATATATAAGACTATTATTTACTGCAAGAAGTTCATGAATCGAAGCCAACCTACACCACTTTTCGCTACTAATTTATCTGCTTCAGTCGAGCAAGTGGAAGATGTCGCATAGTCAAATCGGAGTCTACCATCGTCATCACCGTTTCCGGCGGCGGCGGCAGGTTGTTTAGGGCAGAGAAAGAAATTCCTTGAACCCAACTCGATTAACTTTTCATCTGGATCCAAACCTGTCGATCATCAATTTGTTAGAAATCAATCACTTGAAAGCATCAACAATCACTTATATGAAGTAAAAGCAATCGATGCGTAATTAGGTGAATCAATGAAAGAGAATTCAATTAGCTTACTTTCTAAGCTAAATTGAGAGTAATGGAGGCCGAAACCAGAAGGATCAAGTGACAGTAAGATCGGTCGTCTTCCTTCTTTAGCATATTGCCGTAGAGCGGCGGCGACAAGGTCATTGACGGTTGACTCCGGCGAAATCAGAACGTGCAATGGACCTAAGCTTCTCTGTACCGTCACATTAAGCAGTAGCTTCGTCAGCTTCGGACGCACCATCTCTACCGGCGGAGCAACCCTACCGGTCCCGGAAATCAAATCCGGCACCGTTCTCGGCCTCCATAGCTTTCCTACCATTTCTTCACCAGACTGACCGTGAAACGACATAGCTTTCTCCGTTAATCTCCCCTTGTTGTTCTTTTCTTGGTTTTTCCGGCTATTCTTCTTCGTCAACATAATCAATCGCTTGGCAAATGCTTCTATAAGTAAAGAACAAACCACCAATTTCTGATCAACGTCTTTGTGTCGGTCACCGGAGGTGAGGGGCGGCGATAGGCGAGGTCAAAGGTTTGTAGTTCATAACAAGGAATCGGAAGAATGGTAAGTGATGAGAGAAAATGGAGGAAGTGATGAGTTTGAAAGAACGTGGAGACGTGCGTTTATATTAAGATGGCGGGGGATAAGGAGGTTTGTTCCGAGAAGGCATCGACAAGTTTACGTTCAAGTGGAGGAAGGTTGGTTACCGGTTATTTCCGGTAGATGTAGACAATGATTACACTTTTTAGTTCAATGTGGAATGTTTGATAACTTGCTATCGACAGTTCGCGCCGTATTTATTATCGGTAATTTACAATCAATCAATATATTTTTGCGAAAATTTTGTACTTTTTTTAGAACGTAATTCTTATTATTTTTTATTCATTTTTATTTTTATAGAAAACGTTTTTTGTGATAGGAATCTTAAAGAAACTACTTTTACAACATTAAAAAGTTTCATAAAACTACTTTTACAGCATTAAACTAGACAAAAAAGAGTTTTATATTGAAATGTATTTTAGAAAAAAAAAATCGGAGTAAAAACGACGAAAGAAAAATGACTTATTTGTGACCAATTTCGTAATGAATAATTCATTCAACTGTAAGCACACTGATAAACAAATAATTATTTGTTGATTTTCGCTTTCATTTGTTATGTTTTCGAAAATATTAAGAAAATAGTTGAATTTATGTTTTTTCTTTAAATTATCCATTACAAAACTTAGAAGGCCCAACTTATTCACAGTATTACATAATGATTCATTATAAACTCGGAGAAAAGTATGTATTATCAAATTTTATACAAGAATTCTATCAAAAAACAAAAATTGCTTCCATTTATATAATGTTGGTTATAATTATACATGTTTGACAGTCCTACTTTTAATAAGAAACATGAGCTTATCTTAATCATATTTATACAATGTTAAATTATTATTAAATGTTATTTATATAAATAAATTTTGATTTTTTTTTCATTTTCTTTACACTTTAAATATATGGTTAATATTGTTAAATGGAGACCAATTTTATAAACATTATTATCTTAAAAATGTATTTTAGAATTTAAGATATTTGAGCGTTTTTGTTCTCAAAATACATTTATTTTAATAATATTTTGGAGCATCTCAAACACTTGTGTTTTGTTAAAAAAACAGTATGTTATACTATACATTAGTGAAAATTTTAAATAGAAACAAGAGAGAACCGACCATTCATAATTTAATATGATTTTTATTATTTTTTAACATTTGTTTATTATTTATAAACATATCAAAGTTAACACTTTTTTATTTCCTACAACTACAAATCAATATCAAACAAAAAAAATTACATTATATTAGAATTCACATTTTAATACTGCTGAATTTTGTAACATACTTTTTTATATTAAACTTTATCGGTATTGGTCTATTATTATTAAAAATAAAACTTAATTTTATATTTTTGATTATATATTTGGATATATGATAAAAATTGTTAAACATTAAAAATTAAAAAGAAAATATTAAACTGTGAATGATCAATTGTCAAGTTTCATAATTCTTTTGTGGTTCTATTTGAATTGTTTCCCTCTACATTGCCCCTGAACAACCATGAAGTACTTCACTCAATTCACACGTACGCTAAATCTCATACTCATTTTGAAACAATATATACAAAATCTCAATTTCATTTTTTACTGATCATCACTAGTTTTACGTTCCTAAACAAACTTGATTTTTATAAATCCGTACTCATAACTCTTCGACATGCAAGTGGTTGTGTTGTTCATCGCCCGCCTTGCTATATAGGTCATGACCAAATCTTTCACATTTTGGTTTTAGATTCGGTTTTTCTACCTAATTCACTTAAACGGCTTGCATTGATATCAACCTCTCACACCCAAAATTAGGGAAACATGACTTGCTATAAAAACATTCATCTTATCTTTAAAATGCAGTCTAAATATGTCATAAATCATCCATAACATATCCATAATAATGCATTTAAAGAGTACTTTTCTTAAATTATTACACAATTCCATACATAAAATATATAATAATAGGTTTAAGATTGACGCTTATATATAAATATAAGAGTATATATGAGTAAAAAGATACGTTTAAGGTTTAAGATTGGAAAAAATCAAAACAGCTTAAACGTTAAAACAAAGTATAGATGATGAAAAGACAATATACTGCCATGTTATCTTCATGAAATACATGCATATACAAATGTACATCAACTTAGGACCTAATGAGATTCATGATTTTCATGATATACATATGCTTGAACACATTTTATACGTAACTTTACATACACATTAAAATTTAATCTACAAACAATGCTTTGAATATATAAATAACATGATGTAAATGGTAAACATAATAAACATACTACACTTTGTGGACGTGTATAATTATGTGACAAGTCACCTTATGACACCAGCAAATACGACATTCGGAACAAGTTTTTGATACTCAAATAGTCAAATCGACTTTGCAGAAAGCTAATTATTAAATAATTATATATCTCAAAGAATTCTTTTATTTATTTAATATCGAAAAAAAAGTTAATTAAGAAAAAAAGCTAACGAAGTCAAAGCACATCAGCAGAAATACACGAGTCAAAAGGCGATTTGCTGAGTGGGACTAGTGAGTGACACTTGGCGATGGAGAAAACCAAAAGACTAAAGGGGAATGGAAACCGTCTGGCGTCTTCTGGGTGATAGTGGTGCGCTGCATGTCGGCTGTTGCGTATGTCCCCTTCATCAGCCCCATCCATGTTTTTTCCAGACTCTTCTTTTTTAATTATTTCTAGACCTTAATTATATTTTGAGTTTTATTTTTATTCTGTGTGACCACATTCTTTTCGTGCATGCATATTTATCTTTCATTTATTTTCTATTTTATTATATTTTCTGCACATTAGAACATGCAGGCTTGTTATTTTATACTTTATTGTTTACTGCTTAGTATGCATATTTATACTTATTTGTTCGATGTTCATTTGCTGTTCGGAGATTCTTTATGGTAAGCATAGTATCACGTGAAGGGAATTAACAATGTTTGTATCTACCCTCCTAGCTTCTTACCTTGAGATTTTAGTAATATTTTGTCCGTGTTTTATCGGCGTATTCGGCAAAACTAGCGGGTAGCTAGTAGCTTTTGATTTTGGAGCGTTTTGTTGACAGCTACTCCATGTAGCTTTTGATTTTGGAGCGTTTTGTGTAAGCGAAAAGTTAAACGCTCCTATCGCCGAACGATACTTTTTCTTTTTTACTAGTGTTTTTTCAAAAGCTAGAAGCCAGAAGCTCTCAAAAGCTGCGTGCCGAACACGCCCTGTGTTTTATGAAGTTTATAATAGACCTATATATTTTGGCAGTTTTGGACCAATCTTGGAACGATCTGGTATTTTCTTGGACCGGTCTCGGGCCGGTCTTTTTAGGACCAGTTTTGTTTTTTTTTAATTGGTCTTGCGGTCTATACATTTGCTTTTTCAGTTCAGTTTTGGCCGTTTTTGGTTTGATTTTTGTAGTTTCAGGTTTTTGGTTTCGGTTTTGGGCTTGTCCATTAACAAATATATGATTAGCAACAAAATAATATATTAAGATCTACTAAAAAAATGGTACACTAAAATTTAATATGTAACACCCGGTTTTCAGGATGGATCAATGTGGAGCTTTTAGGAGTCAAAAGCTTGGTTTTGGGGGAAAACTGAATGTCACAACGTGACCTTAAGTTGGTCACGACGTGACAAGCCAAAAGCGAAGAACGCGTATCGGGACAAAGCTCACGACGTGACACATAGATGGTTACGACGTGAGGAAGGTTGTAGCACAAGCCCATGATCTTTTAGGGTTTTCTTCGTATTTAAACCCCATTATCTCGAATTTGGGGTTTATGATCAGCCTCCATTACCCTCAAACCTCAGAAAACCCTAACCCTAATCTCTCTTGGTGAATCTTGGCATTTTGGTGCACTTGGTAGCTTGAAGGAGAAGAAGGAGAAGAAGGTGTTCTAGTAGTGGATCTAGCAAGGAAATCTCATCAACATCATCTTGTACTAATTATAGACCTTTGTAAGTGTCTAAGATCCAAACTTTACTGCCTTATGTTGTTAGATCTAGGTTTTTGTCCCATTTTCTTCATGTTTGAGTAAGCTTGAATGGAAGGGGTCCATAAAGTTAGCAACTTTAGGGATTATAAAGGTCCCTTGAGTATTATAAGGTTCAGATCTAGAAGTTGGTTGAGTATTGGATCCATGCATGTAAGTTTTGGTGTCATCTTTTCACTTTTGACCTAGAATGGATTGAGGACATGCTTGGAGCATACATGTCCACAAAGTAATCATTTGTATGGACCTTTGGAGCCCCCTTAAGCTTCTGGAAAAGTTAGGGTTGGAGACTTAATGGATTAAGGACTCAACTCATTAAGTTGATGTTTCAAACTGAAGTCACGACGTGACACTGAGGGTGTTACGACGTGACCGAGGAAGGATCTCGTGTCTGAGTTGTTTTGTTAAGCTCACGTCGTAACCAAGAAGGGTTCACGTCGTGATGTGTGCTGAGTGGGTTATCCATGACCGAGTTGTCTGAGTTAGAGCGAGTTGAGGGGAATCAGGCTGAGTGAGTTCTCATGAAGTGACCAAGGGTTGGTCACGACGTGAGGCCGAATGTTCTCACGACCTTGCATGTATTATGTGCTGCTATGTATACCGGACGGGGCTCGATGCCAGGTGAAGCCTGAGGATTGGAACATATGGTAGTGTTATGATCATTATATGTGTTAGCATGATTATGTGATATCGATTGTATGTGTATAACAGGCGAGGCCCAGTGACAGGCGAGGCATGAAAGTAACAGATCTGTATACTGAGCGGGGCTCGATGTCGGGCGGGGGCCCAGTGTATGATTTATTATGTATGGTATGGGGTAGTTTGGGGAACTCACTAAGTTTTGTGCTTACGGTTTTCAGTTTATGTTTTAGATACTTCCAGTGGTAAGGGGAAGAGCTCGGGATGACTGCATTTCACACACCATATGGATTCTGTTTATGGGACACACTCTAATTTTCCTGATATTTGACATACTTATTTTATTTGGGTTGTATGAACTATGATTGAAATACTGTTTTCACTTGAATGAAAATGAAATTTTTGGATCATATTTTTGGGATGTTACAAATATACCACAAGCTCATTGGTTTTTGGGTGCTTTAGATTGAATACATTCAAATAACTATATACGATAGTCATTGGAAGGGCGACTACTGTTCGAAAAATGAGGATTGGTTTATAGGTATGAGAGTCCACATCCATAAACTGCTAGTGGGAGTCAACTACTGGGGTACCGAACCAACTGATTCAATCCCACTTGAGAGTTTCAATATGACCCTAGAAAATGCCCAGACGTACCACAACATATTGACAGCAGAGGGGATTGTGGGGTGTTTTTGTGTTGGTTCCTGGAGGCATTGATCACCAGGAAATCGATTTCTATAGAGAGTAAAACCGGTCTATGGGCTATGCGTTATCAAAAACGACTATCAGAAATTTTTTAGGGGTACAAGGACAAAGATAATTTGAACATCGTATATGTAATATGACCTACAAACACATCCCTTTATTGAGTTTATGTATTTATTAGTTGTTTGTTGATTTTAATTGCATTTTATATTTTATAAAACCAAAAGTTATACATTTTAT